CCTGCCTGTCAAATTGCTCTAATTAATAATAGTGACTTAATCAGACCCACTAGCATCATCGTCCTGTTTACCCGGTCTCTTCATCACTGATTCTCTCCCTCTCTCCCCTCCTTAAATAAACTGAAATTATTTCTCTTTCAGGTCTAACTTTATCGCGAGGATCCATCGGACTGCTTGGAAAACTGGTGAGTTTTGCTAATATTTAAGGATGCGCAGTCAGCCGAGGGCAAAACGAGGTGTCAAACAGCTCCCCTGACCCAAACCTCTAGTTTTTGGTGGGTTTTGCACACAAAAATGGGCTCAGTTTGAATCACAGGGGGTCGTTTCTCCTATAAACATCCCCTCCCAGGGACAGGGGCGGCTCCGCAGACTCAGTGGGATCCATGGGAGAAACGTTCTGGGATCCGACCGCCCTCCTGGAGCTGATGCCTTCGGCCCATGGGTGCCTGGATTTCCACCTGCAGGAACATCCCGTCCAGCGAAGGTCGGTATTGCCAAATAAAAGGCCCCCTCGCTTGGATCCGATGCGCTGGAGCGCCCGGTGGCACGGGAATTCCGCGGGAAAACTCGGGAACAGATGCCGGCGCAAAGCCTGGCGCAGCAGCGGGTGCCACTGCTTATTCCCTGCTCTCTCTTTTGCATGATAAAAGAAAAAGATGACCCGTGAAAATAAATAAACCGGCCTTAATGGGCACCGGGGACAGGGCCTTTGGCAGCGATGCCAATCAGCTGCGTCCCGGCTGCCTCCGTTAATTAAAAACTGCACAATTGGCTGTGGCTGATGGCGAGGGCTGGTTGCTAATTACGGTCCTGCTTTCCCTGTTTTGGACTGGGAGGTCTCCAAAAGCTGCTGCTCCTGTTGCAACCCTCTTTTTGCCTCGTTTTGGCCTGGCCCCATCTGCCCCGTCCTTCTGTAACTGCCACGGGCTCTTTTGCTGGCTGGGAATCGTGCAAGAAAAAACCTGTTTCTTTACCCAAATCTGCCTTGATTTAAGGATAGGAAAATCGGACGGTCAGGGTGAACCCGGTGGGGTGGAGGGCTGTGGTTTTTGGGATGGGGGTGCTGCTATGAGAACAAGCAGCACCCAAAATATGCTGCAAACTGCCCTGGAAACACCAGTGCCCGGGGTGCTGTGTTCAGTAGCAGAGGGGTTTTGGGGCAGCATGGGGTGACTAGTGGGTTTTAAACAGATTATCTGAGTCTGAAAGGTCTTTTTTAAATGGTGAGCACAAACTAGGGCTTGCAAAACTGCTTGATATATATATATATATTTTATTTTAGTGGGGGCCAGTAGCTGGGCTGATCCTCGCTGTTCTTATCCTGCACTGGGAAGGGATTGAAAATTGAGTGTTAAAATTGTACTTTAGAGCAACCGGCTGGGTTGAGGTTTGTGTGGAAATAGGATGAGAAGCAAAGCTGGAGGAAAGGGGGTGGATCTAGGCTGGGGTTTGGATTCTGGAGCCCCTTTTCCCTGGTTTCTGTGGTGGTTTCGGGCTGCTTTGCACTGTGTTTGCTGCGGCAGCAGGGACATCCCTGGTTATTTCAGCGGGTCGGATCGGGTGCTCCCCCTGCTCCCGGCCCCTGTTCTGCATTTCCCGCAGCCAGAAAAGGGACAAGGAAATTGCCCGGCTTTGCAAGCGCGTTTCTGATCGGAAAACTGAGAGCCAAGCAGGAAAACGAGCTGCGGAAAGCTGGAAAAACGCCTCTGCGTTACAGCTGGCAGCTTGGCACGTGGAGGGAGGGGAAAAATGGGAGCTAAATCCAGCAAAAAAAATAGGGATGTGATGCCCTTCATCGCAGCTGAATCACTCACACTGAAACAACCGACATGCTTTAAAAAACCATAAAAGCCAAAAAACCCAAACCCTTGTGGTTTTGTTCCCAACAAAGCAGTTTTGCCCACCTCTAATTTTGCTTTTATCCCCTCTTCGAACGTTTTTCTGGGAGGCTGCTTGAAGGTGCTCAGCGAAGGATCCCGAGGGTTTTCCATGGGGAAGCCGAGTCCCAGCACATAATAAAAGGGTTTCCAATCCCTAGGCTGCTGCCTTCATTTCTCGTTGAGGTTTCCCGGAAAAGCAGCGCTGGGCACGTGGCGAAATTCCCGATCCGGCCAAAGTGCCGCCGCTTGCAACGGTGCCGGTTTGGGATAACCGGAGCTATTTGAAACAGCCAACAGCAAAGCGGGAAGGGAAATGAAACCACATCACAGAGACCATCGGATTAAATACACCCATGTAAAGGTTGTAGGCAAAGCGGATGAAAAGAGAGAAAGTCCTCGGGAAAACCAAATCCAGCACGCGGGAGCAGTTCTCCTTTCAGCACGCCACAATGTGAAAGTTTCTGCAAAACTGCCAGTAAAACTCAGATTTTGGAAAGAAATTTGCTGTGTCCTCATTTCTGGGCAGCTATTGATATTTTGGGGTGGCAAAACATATATTTTGGTCTCATCTTTTCTTTCAGGCCTCTCCAGGCTTTGGAATCCTATGCGAGATCCTCTGCTTTGGGGCTTTTAGGAGACGATTGATATATATATATATAAAATATTTATATATATCATATATTGTGTGTGTATAGTTGCATCCGAAACCTTGTCCCTGGCTTCCGTGAGGAAACCCTGCCGAAAACTTGGTGGCCCCCAAGTTTCCGAAGGCCGTTTTCGCGCTGGATCGTGTCCATGTGGATACGCAGCCTGGAGGCCCAAAGAACTTGGCCAACAAATCTTGTGTTGGAAGAGGATCCATGAGGAAGCCGGGTGAAATGAATCCAAAGGGTTTGCTTCCCGGCTCCCTGCTGTGTTTGGTGCAGCGGGAGACGGGAAGGATGTCCCGGGGATGCGACCGGGAGCGCTGGGAAGGGGAAGGGCCGGCGCAGGGCCTAGCTGAGCGTGTTGGAGTAGAAGCTGAGGCTCTCGGAGACGGTCTTGGAGTCGCTGCGCGAGGAGCCGTTGGAGGGGCCGTCCACGGA